GGGGGGGGGGGGGGGGGGGGGAAGGAGAGGAGAGAAAGGAAAAAAAAAAAATGAGCAGGAAATCCGGGAAGTGTAATGAAGTTTTTGGTGAACAAATGCTAAATGTGGGTGGGCGCATGCAGTCAAATCCAACGACTGCGAGTGAACGATTACAGGTTAATACCTGTTGGCATTTTGCCATCCCGGGAACCTTTCTTCCCTTTTCCCAGTGGATTTCTGCCGGATCTGTGCAGCAAAGATCACTGGTTGACAGCAGAAAAGCAGCAACATATTCATAAAAGTTTAAAATGTAAGAAAACATTTTTGGTTTAAGAAGACTTGACTTAATTTGCTTTTATTCTAATTGTTTTTGTCTTTTTCCCTTCACTTTTTTTTTTCTTGTTGACAGTTATATATATATATATTTTTTTTTATTTTTAGTTTTGTTCCATTAGTTTTTGTCAAAAAAAAAAAAAAAATTTCCTATTTTGATGTTTACTTACTTCATATAGAAAACTGGCAGTTTGCAGTATTTACTGATTTTTGATTTCACTTTGTTTACTCCAAATTTTTTCTTTTTCGTCTTTCTTAAACATTAGTCTAATTATGGCACCTAATTTAGGCTTATCAAAAAAGATTTCCAACATGTCCTCAGATTCCAATATTTGTTGGTTCGGAAATAACAAGTGAATATCATTCGGATGATGGAGCAATAGAAGTTATTGAACGCAAATGTCAATTAAATGTTGATGCACCATATTTGGTTAAAAAAGTTTGTTTTTTTATTAAATTTATTGAGTACTAATGCTCTTTTTTTTTTGACGGTTTTTTTGATCCTAGGTAATTTGCTACTTCAGTTAAATCTTTCTTTTAACTGCGTTGAGATTTAAAAATATTAGTACTGGCAAACAGTAAAACATCGCTTGTTTAATTCCGAGATACGCGAATATGAGATGATAACGATGCAAAAAAATATACGTTTTCCTTAAGATCAGGTTTTAGCCCGTTTTCTAGAATGTTACAAGGAGTCGTGAGCGTTTTAGAGCAGCTAATCAGATTTCATTGAACTACATAGTCAACTGATTTAATTCTCAGCCTTTTAAAGTCATTTGATTTAACTCCCAGCTTTTTAAAATTTTTAGTTTTCTTTTGGCTTACAGACACCGAGAGAGGGGAAGCTGGATGGAGTAGGGAAGTTATTGATCTTACCAAAAAAATTTAATAAGCCTTGACACGTCACTTTTTACTGACGCTTTACCACAATTATAAAAGTGGTTTTGCATTTTCATGGTTTTAATTTCTTCCTTACTTTAGATAGCTGGAGTTGAATACGTTTATTTTACACAAAAAAATTCTCTTGATCGACGGAAAAGAACTCTTCTGATTGAAGCAACGAATATTTCTTTTGTAAGCAGAATTGTTGTTAAGGAAGAATGTCACTATTATGTAAGTTCATTACTTTATTTGATAGATTATTTCTTAGGTAAATTAAAACTACGTGCTTCTATTTTTAACATCAGTTTTATTACAGAGTCGTTGAGTTTTCCTGTTTCCCGTTAATGAGGAAACCACTGGTTGAGAAAACTTTGTTAAAAACTGATCACGACTTATTTCATTGCTCAACATTCTGATTTGCTGATGGTTTTTAAGAATGAATAGTCTTTTATGATATTCAAGACAATTCTTGTGTTGAGAAAAAAGTTGTCTATATTCAGGGAATCGCGCATTCTCTAGAATTTTACAGATTGAGTAAATTTTTAATTATCTTCTAATGGTTTGTATTTAGGTTTACCCTGAAAACAAAGAGTGGACTTGTTTTGAACAAAGTGCATCATTGGATGTTAAGGCTTTTTTTGGTTTTGAATCTACAGTGGAAAAGTTGGCAGTGAAACAGTACGCCGCGAATTTGGCTAAAGTTGGTTTTTTATTCTATTTGATTTTTTTCTTTCAAAGTCAGATTAGAGCTTTGTTTTTTTTTTTTCAACAATAACAATTAAAGAGTTGTTTGATTACTTTTCAACAAGGTTTAGTTTTTTGTAGTGTTGATTAACAAATGATTCTTCAGGCTCAATTGGAACTTTTAAATCTTGTTAGAAAAATGCGAAAATACTTTTTTTTAAAAAAATTTTGCGGAACTTTTTTTTCAAGAAAACTTTTTGGATTTGTGCCATTTGACTTGCGGCGGAATATTTTATTACTTTTTGTATGGTGCAAGAGTAGAATGTGTCATAGTTGGCAGTGGAGTGTCACCATGTTCAGCTTCATTATAACGGTGGATGACTTAATAAACGGTTTAGGGAAAAGAAGTACTTGAGTATTTCATTGACGAGCTCCTGAAGAGTGGTATCACTTACATACCGCCATTTGAAGATTCTTCGGAGTCGGTAACTGACTCTGCTATTGATGTTTCAAGAGTTCCTGAAGAAGAAGAGAAAGAAAAGGAGAAAGCTAATGAACGACGGCGGCGTCCGTCAATTATTGTCACATCACTTCAGGAGGCGGAATCTGCTTCATTTGATGACCGTGAGTCGTTTTTTTTTTAATTTTTTATTTTTTTAATTTATTTTTTTTTGAACCAGAAATTAAGTTCTGAACATATTTATGTATTTTCTGCAGCATTGAGGTTTTCATTTTTACTTTAGTCAAAAACAAATTTTTTTATCTAGCCAAAATAGCCTAGAGTTAAGTGCTATTATGTTAATGCTATCTTTATTAGCGGGGCTTATTTGGTTATTATCTCTAGAATCAGCTTTGATCATTTTCCTTTTCTTTATTTTTCTTTATTTTTTTCTTTTTCTTTACACACTTATATGAAAAATTAATGAGAGAAAGTGACTGATTTCTTATAATTTGAATTCTCATTATAGAGACTGTACTTACTTGGGTAGCCAAAAAAGTTACAGGGTTTCCAACGTGTTTTGAGTTTACGACAAAGCAGTACTGAGGTTGTTAGTTCTTAAGTATAAACTAGTAATTTGATTAATTTGTGCAGCGTAGAAGCAGATGTGTTTGATTTGGCGCTTTGTAGAACTTGAAAACGAAGAGTGTTGTGAGACTGTCTTGAGTAATATACCCGTATAATTTGTTTTGTCGGACTTGTCTGTTCTGTCTTTTTCATGGGTTTTTTTCTCTATGATCATCACTCTGTTCTCGTTCTTTGAAAAATTCAGTTGAGACTTGAGCGTGGTGAAATATCGCATCTTTGTCTGTTTTCTTCATACCATCATTAACTGTTCTGCTCTTTTCAAAGAAAAAATGGGTTGAGTGGGTTTATAAATTAGTTTTTTTAGAATGCAAATTTCTCTTATACAGTTATTATTGTGATCTATTTAAAGGAACTTTAGTTAGAGGTGAAGAAAAATGAGATTTTTTTAGTTGAAATATTTATAAAAGTAGTTCTACCTAAATATGCGAAAAAAATACTGATTTCTTCATTATTTGCACTGAGATTGCGAAGAGTTGGATGTACTTACACTAGTTGCTGATGCTCTATTGGATATACAGAATGTCTGTAGCTTTCTGGGACCAGTTGGTTATTGTTTTCATTGGAGATCTGGTAAGAGAGAGCCAAAGCGAAGAAAACGGGCAGCGGCTAGATTGGAGAAGATAAGTACTGCTTAGAAATTTTAGTATTTACATTGCGAGATCGTACGCGCATTTCTCACACAGCATAATGGCATCTATCTTTAACTTCTTCGTCATCATCTTCCTTGTCTTCTTCTTCATCTTTGCCAACACTTAACAGTGTGTTGTAGCGCCTGAATTCTATTATTTGCATATTCTCTGCAACAAATATGCTCGAAAATGGTTGAGTTCTGAAAAAATTTGAAAGATTTTATCTACATGACATTTGCTGAATTATACTGTATAATTGAAATCTGTATTTGGTTGTCTTTGGTAGAAGCATATACAGCAAAAGCTTAGCTTACAAATATATTGGTTTTTCTTTATTGCTATTGTCTAAATCGCTATTTTAAAAACAGATTTGTGCTTTAATCTGTTGAACCCAGGTTATCTCACGACACAGTTGTTTTCAACGTTCTTAATTAATAGCATATGTCTTGTGAAGGCGTGTGTTTTCATAAAGGAAAAATCCACTGAAATAACAACGGTTATATTAACAGCGACTGAATTACCCTTACTTTTTTTGTCTGGGACGATTAGTCTGTAGGGATCTATGCTGGCAAAACGTTATGATAAAAATGGCAAAAAACGCCGTTCAGTACGTTTTCTTGTAGCTGAAGCAAAGCTTGAAGCTGAATATATTAGACGATTTCTCGGACAGTTAACTGCGTTAGAGGAAAGTCGGTTGTGCGAATTTAAATATGGTCTTCAAAATACCCATAAGGTAAGCGTCGTTTTTCTTTTTTTTTTTGTTGTTTTTGCGAAATATGTTAGTATTTTCGTACTTCACGTAAGATTTTAAGCAACTTATTTTTTTGTCACGCATTCGCCTTATTGCTTTGCTGACGTCCGAATTGTTACACTTAATGATGAGCCTCTTCATTTTTTTTACAATACAGCGAGATTTTCTTAATTGATTATTTTCTTTTCTCTTTTTTTTTCGAAAAAACTGCTCTAATTTTTAGTGTCTAGCTAATTACGAATAAAGTTAGAATTGAAAGTGAACTAAGGTGATGTCTAACTTTATTTGGAATTTTGACTATTGATTCAGGTGAGGAGAAAACAGAAAAAAAAGCTAACAAATCATTACTGAGAAGAAAGCCAGCCTTTTTTCTATGCTTGGGAATATTCATATGGCTTTTAATTGTGCTTTGATTAGTCGGTATTTTTTCTGTTCTTTTCACTGTTTATTTGATTTATTTTTATACTAAAGGGAAAGTTACCGAACGATGCACATTTGCTGCGATTTTTGCGCGCTCGTGATTTTGATGTTCCTCGTGCTACCGAAATGATACAAAAAAGTTTGTTGTGGCGAAAAAAGTACAATGTCGACAAGATTTTACAAGAATTTGAGCCACCCCCTGTCCTGTTGCAGTTCTTTCCCGGTTGTTGGCATCACTCTGATAACAAGAACAGGTACAGCTCAGTGTATTTATTATTTTTTCTGCTTATAATCTTTGTAAATGCTATTGTGTAAAGCATGTCAATGCTAAAAAAATTATTATCTGGCAGGGGAAGACCGATTTAATCGTTGTTGTTGAAGTTAAAATTGTTAGTTTTTTTTACATCATGTCTTTTGATGCAAATGCGCTAACCTTATTTGGAAACAAGCTTAGAAGCCCTTTTTCTTTTTGTCTTTTTACTTGTAGTCGTTGTTTTTTACTGTCATCTAAAGGTATAGTTTAAATGAAGTATTAGTTCTTAGCAGTAACTGGTTCCGAGTATCTGTATTTTTAGGCCGTTGTATGTTCTTCGGTTGGGTCAGTTAGATACAAAAGGTCTTTTACGGGCCGTTGGTGTAGAAACAATTGTAAAGTTTGTATTGACAATCATCGAACAAGGTCTTTTAAAAACAGCAGAGGCTACGAAACTTCTAGGAATGCCCATAAGGTCGGCCTTTTTTATTCTCCTTATTTATTTTTCTTTAAACCTTACCATTATCTCATGGATGCTCTTTTCTTACTATTATTCTTCTAGTACTTGGACTTTACTTGTGGATCTAGAGGGCTTAAGCATGCGTCATTTGTGGCGTCCTGGAATACAAGCTCTTTTACGCATAATCGAAATTGCTGAGGCGCATTATCCAGAAACTCTTGGCTTAGTTCTTATCGCTCGGGCACCCCGTGTCTTTCCAGTCTTATGGACTTTAATTTCACCTTTTATTGATGAGAATACACGGAAAAAGTTTATGATCAATGCAGGAGAATCAGTAATAAGTGAGCTTAAGAAGTACATGGACGAACAGTATATTCCAGAATTTCTTGGCGGAACTTGCTTCTGCCTCGCGCCTCCTGGTGGTCATGTCCCTAAAAATCAATATCATCCAGTTACAGAGGTTTTCTTATTAAACTTAGTATTTCCCGTGACTTTGAAAACGTTTTTGTTTTTATTAAGATACGATGTGTTGGATCTTTTTAAATAAAGGTATCACAAATCTCTCCTAGAAGATAAAGTTGTTTGTTTTCTGTATTTTATTACTACGCCTATTTAGGACATAACTGACGACGTGCTTTCATCAACTTATCAGACTGCTACCATAATAAAGGGTGCACCTCACGAAATTAGCATTCCTGTTCATAGTAAAGGATGTGTTCTTACCTGGGATTTTGATGTTATAAAGGTCAGTTGTGGCAATTTTCTGACATTCGGTTTAGCTAAGTTATGTTAACGTTAGATGTTTTTTTTTCTTGAATTTTGAGTTTCTAATCATTCTTTTTTGAATTTACTTCAGTCTTGTTTTTATTCTTCTCTGCAGATAGAGTTTTTAAGGGCGAGTGCGAATTTTTAATTTTATATACGCCGAAGTTATTAGAACCTGCTGTAACCCAACAATCGGCTTCTTTGTTATCACCAGTGGAAAGAGTAACTGCAGCAATTAGTAGTTCGCCTCCTGCAACTTCAGTACTTTCCGATTCAAAATTGGTTCCTAATGTTGATCTCATGTTAGCCACTTTTTTTTGGTTTGAGATGACTAAATTTTGTCTGTTTCGTTGCGCAGTCTGACGTATTGAACAATTTTCTAAGTTTTCTAAGTTTTAGTAAGGAAGAAAAACCTGTCCAGTTTGCGGATGGAGACTCGATGCAAGGTTCACATTACTGTTCGAAGGTTGGGACATATATCTTACAGTGGCGTTATCCGGAACCTTCGAATAATCAGTCTTTCGATTTTTCTCTTTCACACCATAAGTGCAAATTGATGTATTATTATGAACTTCTTGATTCAGCTGGCTTTAAGTAAGTTTCAAGTGATTTTACAGCTGATGAAATAAGTTTTAGATCCTTGTTAAAAGATTTGGAGGAATTATTTAAAGATTTGTTTTTTCAACATCGGTATGATAATTTGAGAAGAACCGTGTACTTTTGAATTTTTTCTTTTCAGAGGATCTGTCGCATCCTTGGAAAGCTGTAGATCATCATTTTCGTCCTTGGCAGCAGCAGCTTCATCCAATCCGAATACGCCAATTACTTCAAAGAAAAACCCTTGATTTAGGGTATATTTTATTTTCATCATAACTAATAGTATTAAGCAAAGTGGGTATGTCAGTCACTGATTTTACTACGACAGTTTTTTTATAGTGATATGAAGTGCTTTTAAGAATTTTAATGCTTCACGTCCTTGTCGAAACTTGGTCGTTATCAGCCATCTCTGTCGCTCTTGCTAATTTCATCAATTACCTGTTATAAAGAGGGACTCTTAGCTGGTGTACTCACATGTACTACATTAGTACGTAGGGCCCTCTTTAATTGTGCTATTTTTCCTGTCCTTCTGTGATAGCTAATATGTGAGCCGTAGCCCTACTGAAAGTAGTTTCTACAGACGTTCTTTGAATTTTCGCAGGATTTGGCAATTCGTAGTCGTCAGTTTTACTGAAGTTTTTGTTTCCAATAGGAAATCTCCTTATTATTTTTTTTTTTGTACCGGTTGGAAATTTTTGCCTAATTACTAATTTTTGTCTGTTTTCGGGTACAGTGTTTATTTTTTCCTTTCTTCTGTTTAGATTTTTATAATTGATAATTTTTGCACAACATTCTGTTTTTCTTTTTTACTTTTTTATTTATTAGTTTTTCGAATAAGTGTGTTTCATTATAGATAAATGCATAAGTTTGATTAGTTTTGATCAATTTTGATGATGCATATAGGTGTCTGGGAATTGGTAAAATGTAGTTTTGAAATTTGTTCAGTAAGTATTAGAGTAGGGAGGAAAAGAAGACTTGTTTGAATTTTCTTTATTTAGTCTATTGATATATAGTGAATTAATTAATTAATAATGTTCAGCAGTTGTTTTAGGTACGTGAAATGTGATATATAATATGTGAAAATGTTGCTGTATTTAATGAACAGATTTCCTCTTTTTTTTATTACTTTTATTAAATTTATTGTTGAGAATTGAATGTGAAGAGAAGATATATGTATAACTGTATATCTTCGTCTTGATGGCATCTACCGCTCTGAAAGACGAATAAAAATTACACTGTGAGAAGGAGGAGCAAAGGACAGGGAAAAAACAAAGCTTATGGATTTGTTTATGAAAGGTTCAGTTTTCTTTTTTTGGAAAAAGTGTTTACTGGCATAGTCTCTCCTGAGTGATCGATTCTGTGGCATCTAGGAAGAAAAGAATATATAATGAGGTTTCTCTGGTTTTAAGTACACGAGGGTAAGGTAAAGTACTTTAATAAGTAGAACTATGCCAATAATAGACGTTCTACGATGAGTAGGACAATTAATAGTATTTAAAGTTCGGATCACATTGTGTCAAGACGAACTTTTTTTTTCGTTTTTTTTGGAGTGAGATAAATGGGAATTTACAAAAATGAAAGGAAGAGGAAGATCGGGAAGAAGACTACAGATACGTTAGGTTGGTACCCGAAAGGAAGAGAAAAAAATGAGAGATTTATTTTGAGCAGTAGCCGAAGCGAAGACTGCTAAAGATCCCAGCTGAAAAGATGATGTTTAATAAGCATATCTCGAACGCCTTCTTTCAATGGAGCATCGCGAGAACCTCGAGTTGATGCCGAACGCTGTAAACTTGATATGTTCATCAGGAACTTTGTGCAGTAAAGTGGTATTTTTATAGTGCCGGTCCAACTTGGGCCTAATTTTTTTTTTTTTTTTTTTTTTTTTGCAAAACCACTTAACGGCTATTGTTGTTAAATTTGTGCTTGCAAACATTGAGCTTCCTTTGGAATTTTGTTTGTTCTCAAAGCGGTGGATGGCGGGTGCTGTTATTCGATTACAGTGAGCTGAATTCAGGCTAATAATGATAATATATCAATGTGAAAACACGGCGTTTGGAAAACCGCTTCATCGGTCACTTATTTCATAATTTTTTCATTATGCAAGCTATTTTTTTATCTTTGCAAAATCTTTTTTCTGTTCAACCTTTACTGCCTCGCAAATATTGGGATATGTTAGTTAGATCCGGTTTATAAAGTATTTTAATCTCGATCAGATGACGAATTTGTAAAGTGTGCGGCAATAATAACTGAAAGTAAACTTACCAGTTTTTGTATGTTGTTACTCTTCTTGGCTTTTGGATTAACCATCACTTCGAAATCCGGATTCAAGTTGAAGCAAAATTGTGAAAGAAGTTTCAGTTCGCATTTTATCTGTAAAACAAGTGTTGCTGACAAGATGCGATGGTATAGTTAAAGAGTGGCTTGATTACCAGTTATACTTAGTGTAACCTGGAAGTTCAATTCTAGCTAAAAGATATGCTTAGTGGGAAGAAGCATTACTGGGAAATATCATACAGATAGCTTTACCGAAATATTCTTCAAAGTTCCACATTAAAAGACCAGGGCTATTTTGAACACCAACAATCTAACTTTCCTCCCCAATTAAATTCCTGATTATCAACATTTTTCTGAATTTGGCACTCATTCAAGTAATCATGCCTTTTGCCTCAGATTACCTTTTATAGAAGTGATAAGCGATCACTTAAAGTTTGTATTCAGAGAAGTACATTGGGTACTGCAAACAGACAGAATTTAGCTAGTTTATGGCATAAGTACTGTTATCCAACTGCGCGGTTACCAAATTTTAACTGTGTCATACTTCCACTAAGCTGAAGCCTGATACAGTTATTTTTTGTTATAGTCAATCTATTTACCTTTAAAGATTTGAAGAACTTGCAGTTTTAGTTGAGAAAGCTTTATGGCCTTAATGCACCCGCTATTACCAGCAAGGCATTTCATCGCAAGATTTATTCGCCATCATAAAGGCTAAGGATTATGAAAAAAAATTGCAGCGAAACTTTTTTGGTGGCATAAATTATTTTCTTAAACCAATGTTTAAAGTCAAGCTGTTGATTGGGTTTTTTCTTTTTACTCCCCGTTGAATAGTTCTTTATTAGAAATATAGTAGAAGTATAATGTATAACAGTAGTTTAATATTTCCTTTTTTTCTATCCTGAGTGAAAATTACTGGAACCGTTCAGCATACTGAAAGCCATCACTTTGAGTGAAATTTCAGTAAAAAGTGACTACCGATATACTGCAACTATGATCTCACGGCAAAACGCCCAGCGCTACATACGAATTGAGGTAGTTGGAAGGTTTAAACCGCAGAGCAGCTGCTGCGAAATCTTACAGTCAATTAATATTAAGCTTTCTGGTCAATGGGTTCAGAAAAAAACCTCAGTTTGATTTGGTAACATAGCAATACCAACAACACTCAGGTAATTTGCGGAAGTAATTTTTAAAGAAGGTTCAGCTTTTAGCGCTCAACTGGAGTTTATTGATAGGTCACTAAAACGACCAATTTAACCTTCTAGCATTTAAGTGGAAACCTCCAAAATCGGCACTGAACACACTTTTGAAGAAGAGCTCAAATAGGTCAAACGACGCCAGTTTGGCTAATAACTGTGTAAGGCTGAATGCAGATGAGTAACACGTGGGTGCTATCAAACCACAAAAAATGGCTACAGAAACCAAAGTACTTATACACTTTCAGGAACTAAAATTTGAAAATTACTGCAAAACCCCTAACATTAGTTATGATCAGAGACGAAATTGAATCCGAAGAGGATTTCAATTTTGCATTCCCTACTGATCACTTTTCTGACTGACTGAAATGCACAATTGGCCACCCATCGTGAAAGTGACCTAATTTTCCACGTGACACAAGGAAATTTTGCATTTCCATCTGAGAGAACTGAACATAAAGCAATCTGTTGCTACAAAAACATAAAAAAACTGTGTAGAAACTGTGGAATACATCGGAAATAATCAAATGTTTTTAGGGAATGGAATGAACAGGTATAAAACTTCTCAAACAGGATAAAATTTCTACGCCGCTCACCTGTCTCCATATGGGTGACCGTATAAAAGACCACGAATGATAGTACTTGTCTCGAACAATATCTTGATTTGAATTACCACAAAATATGTCAAACCAAAGGTGCAGACATTGCTCGTTAACACCCATAACCATCAGTGACCGCAGTTTACAGTCGGCAGAAGCCCCGACAGCGTTGTGTGTTTCATTGATATGCTCAACACTTCGAAAAAGAAGTTCTTCTGGTGTTAATATCTAGAAAGTTATTATTTAAAAGTTCACTAAATTTTGTTTAATGATATTTTTTCTTAAGGTTCTGTTAAATCTACAAAGTGAATAAGCTTTCAGATATATACTTCTTGTCTAAAATAAATTTTATTTTCAAAAATTCGCTAGAAGAATATTGTTTTCGACTTAAAAATTTTTTTAAGTTTTTTAAAAATCAAAAATTTGTTTATACTTTATGCGAAAAATAAATGCTTATATTACTTTTCCATCCTGATCGAGGCTAAAGGTACTGCAGAGGGTTAACCGTGAGTGTACAGAGCTGTAATGGCTTCGTACAGATCCTTGAGCAATCTCTTCTATAAATTAAAAAAAAGTTGCTGCGAATGTGTTTAATAGACATTGATTATAAAATTTTTGAAATAACTGTATTAATTTATAGATATTTGAATGTTTTAGGACAAAACATTTAATTACAATAACTCGTATTCAAATTTCCATGCGTTAGCATGCAATGGCATACTTACCAATAAAATACCACGGATGGTTGCTAAAATTTAGAACTCGAGACCTTCGTATGCCATGCTCCAGTATGGGCTTTACAGTACTAGACAGTCGTTCACGAATAAGTTCAGTAACTTCTGGATACACTGCCTCATCGCCGTAAATTGTATAGTTTTTACCCCTTTCATCCACCACCTACAAAATGGGATTAAATGAAATTGATAGACTTATCTTATACCTAAATACTGAAAACCTTGAAAAAAAGGAGAATTAAATGTTTGGCAGCTATAACTTCCGCTTATTTTACAGCTGATACGCGCATAGATAAAAAACTGTTGTGTCAAAAGTGACAAACTAATTTTACCTCAACAAATTTTGCAGGAAACCACCCTTGCAAACCGTTAACTTCCCCGATCCAACAATGCTCGTCTTTTTCACTGAGAATTGTGATCATATCGTTTTTCCTTCAACAAAATTCTGTGTTTGTAATGTTCAGAAAAATTAAAGCTATTGAAAGACTTTAATCGACAAAAACCAAGCCGGTTTTCTGCATTTCTTCTCTTACAAAAAATTTGTTAGCTTTGAAGCTTATTTTTGAAGCTCACTGAAAAAAGCAAAAAACGTCTAAAAAAACTCACTTAAATCCTAGTTCATCTTCGTCCTGTCTTTCAAAATCTAAAAGCGCACGAGCCCTTCTGTGTCCCTGACGTTTTGCATTCAAAAACTCTTCAATTTCGTCTTTTGGTGTTTCCACTACGTAATCGGCCTACAGAAGAATATGAAAATTCAGAATCAAACAATATTAAGCGGTAACGTCAGATATTTGGTAAAGAACTTGCAAAATAGGGAGTATATAATTTGCAGAGAAAGAGGATAGAGTACTTTGAGAAAAAAAAGAAACTTATGATCATAACCTGCAAAGTTACACTGTCTTTGAATTTATCGTCACAGTCGATAAAATGACGGCAAATTTGTAGCACAGCTTCACGTAAGTCGATGATCAGTTCTGTTTGGCGTACATTTTTCATTCTTAGGTCTGTTTCTTCCACCTAAATCAGCAAAAAATAATTATTTGGAGGAATTAAACATGAAACTCTTTAGCGACCAAATAAAAGTTCTTAAAAAAAGTTGTTGTATTATGTCCAACAAAAGAACAATGACTTATTTTAAGAACGTAATGCAAAAAAAAATCTAAAACAGTTTAAAAAAAATCGGCAAAAGATTTGATACTTGTGAATTTTTAGTTAGTGTCCTTAAGATGT